TGCGAGCGCCTGGATCCGCCACGTGCGACAAGGGCCAGGGACTCACGCTCGACTTCGCATTGGTCAAGACTGGCATCGAGCACACGTTCTCCATTCGCCAATGCCCCACCGTCCCCTGGGCCACCCACGTGGGCCTTGAAGTTCGAGCAGGCAGCGCAGACCCCTGGTGGTATCAGTCGATCCATACCCCTAGGGCTTTCCCCATAGTGGACAGACCCAGGACCCCTCCAGACCCCAACAGCAAGACCGCCATCAAGAAACGTAAAACAGCAGAAGCTCGAGCAGCACGCCTACGCGATCTACCTCCTGAACTCCAACAAGCAGCAGCACAACTCCAGCCACAAGACGAGCCAGCAGCACAGGAGCCTATCCCGTACGCTATCCCGAGCGACCTCTGGGAGGAACAATGGCAGCAAGCTGCACCCACACGTTGTAAGCAGCCTCACGCGCACTTCGTGTACACCCACTGGGTGCACGACGCCGACGACCTCAACCTCAAGTACGCCAAATGGGTCACGGCGCTCGAGAACACCATGATCAGCCACCACCAGATCGACCCCAAGGAAGCCGCAGCATTCACAGGCCGAGCCCAAGGCTACCAATTGTCTTGGAAGAAGACGGCCGCCGCCCCAGGCCGCGTACACGTACATGACCCCCAGTCGGAATGGTGGGCAATCACGCTCACCCTCATCAAGCGCTACGCTGCGCTTCACGACAAGCCCAAGCACGCAGCGCTCATGCAGCAGCAGGCCTCCATCATCCAGCAGCGCGCGGACCACTTCAACACTCACTTCCACGACCCCCAGTTCGAGAAGGACGAGGACACCATTTTCCGCTGGTTTGCACTCGTCTGGGCCCCGCACTTGGACAATGAGGACACCGACGACTTGGTCACTATTACCGCTACTTGGGCCTCCAGAGCGCTCTCCGCAGCCCTCGCTAAGTCCAAGAGGGCTTACGGTGCTTGGCTCGCCAAGCAATGGAAACACCGCCCTGGAGTACTACACGCCCATGTCAAGCCTGCGCCCGTACGGCACATCGAGGCCTACACGACCAACCAGACCATTGCCGACCCCACCGTTTATCATGGACAGCAAGAAGCAACAATGGCAACAAGTATGGCAGGCCACCGAGACCCCCGACGACATCCTACAGGCGCTGTCAAAGGCCAAGGCAGCAGCCGCTCGCCAACCACTCGAGCCCATCACAGCCGAAATCGTACACCGCTCTCACGGCCGCATGCCACCCAGTAAAGCACATGGAGTTGACGCCCTTGGACCTCGCGACCTCCATCGACTACCAGAACCAGCAGTCGAAGCCTATGCGGATATCCTCAACGCAGTAGAGCATGCAGGCATCTGGCCACTACAAATCTCAGGCACTATTGCAGCCCTCGCAGCCAAGAAGTCTGGAGGCGACAGGGTCCTCGGCATGATACCTCACATGGCCAGACTCTGGTCTCGCATCAGATCGACTGCATCTACATCCTGGACCCAAGGCCTGGACGACTTCTGGACTACAGCCATCAAAGGTTCCTCAGCTCTCCAGGCCGCCCTACACAGGGCCTTGTTAGACGAGACAGCCTCAGCACTTGGCATACAGTCAGCCACAGTGCTATTAGACATCCAGAAGTTCTACGACAATATCAAGCTCGCCAACCTCATTATGGTCGGCCTCAACTGCGGCTTTCCCCCCATCATTCTACTACTGGAAGTACAGCTATACCTGGCGCCCAATTCTTGCGCCTCCAAAGGCATCATCGCAGGCTCCCCGCACGGCACGACCTTGGCACGACTCATAATACTTCCTATTCTACGGCAAGCCCAAGCTCAGGCAGAGCTTGCCCAGATGTGGACCTTCGTAGACGACACTGTCCTTCGAGTCGAAGGAGTCCTACGCACACTGCAGAAGCACCTCCCCCGTGCCGCCAAGACGCTCTGCGACGGTCTGAAGGAGTTCGAGCTGCCTATCTCTGACAAGACGGTCCCCATCGGCTCCACCCCCAAGGTCCGCAAATCGCTAGCCAAGAAGTTGCGGCAGTACGACATCCCAGGCACTGCGACCGCCACGGCCGTCGACCTCGGAGTTGACGCGGCTGCGGCTACTCGACGGGTACAAGCCAAAGCCAGGAAGCGACAGAGCTCAGCCGCAGCTAGGTTTCGCAAGATACACCGACTACGGAGCACTGCTCAGCAGGCTCGAATCTCAGCAGGACTGTGGCGTACTGGCGCTCTCCCCGAAGGAGTTTTCGGTCATCAGGTGCACGGCCTCGCTCGGCACGCTCTACTACGATGGCGGCGTCAGGCCGCTATTGCGGCCACGGGAGCAGCAGCGGGCCGATGCCTCACCTCCCTCCTCGGCGCCACCTTCGACGGCATGGACCCAGGAGTTTCCCTAAGGATCGAATTCATCGAGGCTTGGCTGCAGCACTGGATACGCCACCCGAGCACGCACGCCAGGATCATCAGAGCATGGCCAAGGATCAAGACCACCTTGCTCGCCGCAGGCCCCAAGCTGTGGTGCAGGGTCAAGGGGCCCACTGGCGCGGCCATCGCGACCCTGCTGGAGGCCAGCTGGGACCCGACCTCAGCTACCACGTGGAGACGCACGAAGGACGGCTACATCGAGGAGTGGAACCTCCCCCCTGCCGACGACCCTGACCTCCTCGACGCCGACATCCACACAGTATTGCAGGACCTCAGCGAGGATTTGCACAGGCTCCTCTGGACTCAGGCCGCTACGCATGACCATGGTGACACGCTGGCTGGAGGTGCGGACATGGTCACCATCCGCATTGAACAAAGGAGGCTCCTCGCAAACGGTGATTTCAGCGACTGGGCCCTCAACAACACCGTCATCAGTGGTGGACAATGGACCAGAGACCGCCTCCACAACGCGGGCTACCAGATCGACAAGAACTGCGACCGATGCAGCGCAGGAGTTCCTGAAACCTTGTTTCACCGAATGTGGCAGTGCGAGGCGAATGTGGGACCTGAGTTTGAGGCCAGTGACAAGTTACTACCGCGAGCCGTGGCGGGGGCCAATGCTGACCCTGCCCTGTGGCTCCGTGGCATCCCCTCTGTCGCTCTCACTACGCCCGCGTTCGAGCCATTGACTGGGAGGGACGGGTGGGAGTTTGTTGGTGCGGTGCGGGAGGGGTTGCCGTCGTGGGAAGGAGCTCGTAACGCTGAGGGCGAGTTGTTTCTTTTTGGCGACGGGTCTGGCGGCGCCTTTTCCGACGACGTCAGGCGACGCCGTGTTGGTTCTGGCCTCGCGGCCCTCCGATGGGACCCACCCTCGGCCTCCTGGACCCTCCACGCGGGCCTCCTCGCCCCCCTCCCAGGCCCCCGCCAGACCGTCCCAAGAGGCGAATTGCATGCGTTTTGCCTGGCACTGGAGACGTGCCAGCAGGATTTCACGTTTGTTACTGATCACCTAGCTCTGCAGCGCGGCTGGCAGAATGGCAGATGTCTCAGACCTGGCAGCCTCAGAGGCAAGAATAAGAATGGGGATCTCTGGCTGAGAATTCGGCACCTCGTGCAAGATCGATCTGGCGGCTGCTCTTCTGTCACGGTGCTCTGGACCCCATCTCACGCCGATCCCCTCACGTTGCATGGCTTCCAAAAATTTCTGGCTCTCGGCAACCAGCATGCCGACGAGCTCGCGGGAAGCGCGGCCCACAAGTCGGCCACCCTTGCCCTCCCGCCCGTCCCCAGGACCGATGAATACGACGCTATTGCAGCCATCGTCCGACAGAGGGCACGACTGATTCTACGTTCTTTAGGCAAGAATTCAGAGCCTCGAGGACAGTGGCCAGAGAGGCAATCCAACCAGGAGGCAGCCCCGCGCTCTCAGTTGCAGACCGCGATCGCGGCTTCTCAGCACAAATTCGAGCGGTGTGCAGACAAATGGAGATGCCCTGCCTGCCTCATCATCGTTGACGCTTGCCACGTTATTCCAGCTGCCGCCACAGAGTGTGTGCCGCCTTGCCCCCTTCCCGAGTTCGCTGCGTGTGGAGAGGTGCTGTGGTCGAGGGGTCCCCGCGTGATCAGTGGCAAGTTGATCCACCCCTCCCACACTTTGGCCACCATCCCCAAGTGGCAATTGTTTTTCTGTGTTAAGTGCGGCCACACGGCCACGCACCAAGTTAAAAGCCTACTTTTGCCGTGCCCTCTCTCCCACCAAGTGGGAGAGCGCAGGGCCCTGGGACCCACTGGCAAAGGCCTCGAGAACCTCAGCAGGATCAGGCGAGGCCTCCACCCGTCCAGATCGGGTCCCAGCAAGTCAGTGCTAGAGGCTTTGCACGTTTCGGCAGCCGAAGCCGCGATCGGTTCCTACGCGGCGGGAGCTGCCTCCGAGTAAATTGTGAGGCCAGGGGGGCCTGTCGCGGTGGGCCGTGGGATGTCGCCCCCCACGGCCCTCCGAGAAATACTGGATGGCCCCCCTGGCATCTCTGGGTTCCGAACGGACTACGTCCGATTGCTCCACTCCACTCCTTCTCCTCCTCCTCCTCCTCCTCCTCCTCCTCTCCTCCTCCTCCTCCTCCTCCTCCTCCTCCTCGTCCTCCTCCTCTTTCATCCTCCTCCTCCTCAACTCCTCCTCTCCTCCTCCTCCTCCTCCATCCTCCTCCTCCTCGTCTTCCTCGCTCCTCCTCCTCCTCCCCTCCTCCTCCTCCTCCTCCTCCCTCCCCGCCTCCTCCGCCTCCTCCGCCTCCTCCCGCCTCCTCCTCCTCCTCTCCTCCTCCTCCTCTCCTCCTCTCCTCCTCCCCTCCTCCTCCTCCTCCCCTCCTCTCCTCCTCCTCCTCCACTACTCCCCCTCCCCCTCCCCCTCCTCCTCCTCCTCCCCTCCTCCTCCTCCCCCTCCTCCTCTCCTCCTCCTCCTCCTCCTCCCCTCCTCCTCCTCCCTCCTCCTCCCTCACCCTCCTCCTCCTCTCCTGCCCCTCCTCCTCCTCCTCCTCCTCCTCCTCCTCCTCCTCCTCCTCCTCCTCCCCCCCTGGGCGCCATGTCGCCCCAGCCCATCTTGCCGCAGCCTGCTGGGAGGAGGGGGACAGATCGGCAGGCCAGAACGGATCGTGCAGCAGCAGCAGGGATGAGCAGGCGGGGCGGGGGAGGGGGAGCGAAGCAGGGAGGGAGGAGAGGAAGAGGGCGGGAAGGCAGCGCAAAAGATTCGGGGGCGGGAGAACACTCTGGAGAGGTCAGCGGAAGCGGAGGGCGGAGCATGGATAGTGGCGGACTAAAGAACTACGCCCTCACATGACACCTGACGGTGGTCGCCCGTCGGACTCGGAAATCTAATACGATCAGCCAAGGAAGTTCCTTCGGGAACGCTCCAGGGTTAGCTTCCCCAAGCGCCAATGTACGACAGCCCTCCCTCCGAAGTAAAGTTTTCTGTGCATTCCCGGTGCATTCCCAGGAGCGCCCCGGGGAAACATCGTTCCCGGTGCATTCCCATTCACAAAACACCCAACAAACACGAAGAACATGAATGTTCCCTCCCCGAACCGAATTCGATCTTTTGCATCCGTCCGACTGTACACCCGGGAGGGCGAGATAACGTGGAGGGATCAAGACGGACGAGGATGGCACGGTGATGTCATCGGCGGGCGTGGTGCGAAACGAGGCGGGGGGGGAAGGCACGAGGCAAAGGCTTACAAAGCAAGGGCAAAGAATGTATGGCAGGAGCGGGGGAAATGAGCCACTCCTGGGGACAACTGAACATGGGCGGAAAAGCAGGACACGGGGGTGGAGGAACCGAAGCAGAAGCGGAGAAAACGACAATACGGTGTGTACAAATGAACAAGGCGTGCAGAAATCAAAGCAAAGATGGAGAAAACGAAACAGCACTGCAACACCGATAGAGCTGTAGAAAGCGAAATAGCATTGCAAAGCGCGTATATTCATACATGCATACATACGTACATACATACACATACACGCATGTGTATAGTAAACAACTCTGGAAGCACAATACCCAGGGCGCTTCGATTATGTTTAGGGCGCGCCCCCGTTTCCTCCTCCTCCTTCACCACTTGTTTCGTGATCATGCTCCTCCTCCTCCTCCTCCTCCTCCTCTTCCTCCTGTTCCTCCTTGTTCTCGAAAAGGGCTCCGTCCCAGGGCTCTTCTAGTAGGTAAACCTGTCCCCGGTGCCATGCGGGAGGTGGGCCGGCGGAATTATTTCCTGATCATTTTCGAGGTCGAGGTGGGCCGGCGGAATTGATTGGGAGGATGTCTCGAGCGAAACATTTGTTTTTCCCAAGTATCCTGTGGTGTTGGGTCCTCGTTTTGAAGAGACAGCGCCCCGCGTCTCATCCTCCCTCCTCCCCCTCCTTGCCTTTGCACTCGGCACACCTCTCACACGTTTCGTAGCCCCATAGGGAGCTCCACCGAAGGCCCCAGTGGTTGCTCTCGCATGCGTTTCCCCCACCCTGGGCAGCGCTTCGTGGCCCCATAGGGAGCTCCACCGAAGGCCCCAGTGGTTGCTCTCGCATGCGTTTCCCCCACCCTGGGCAGCGCTTCGTGGCCCCATAGGGAGCTCCACCGAAGGCCCCAGTGGTTGCTCTCGCATGCGTTTCCCCCCACCCTGGGCAGCGTTTCGTAGCCCCATAGGGAGCTCCACCGAAGGCCCCAGTGGTTGCTCTCGCATGCGTTTCCCCCACCCTGGGCAGCGCTTCGTGGCCCCATAGGGAGCTCCACCGAAGGCCCCAGTGGTTGCTCTCGCATGCGTTTCCCCCACCCTGGGCAGCGTTTCGTGGCCCCATAGGGAGCTCCACCGAAGGCCCCAGTGGTTGCTCTCGCATGCGTTTCCCCCACCCTGGGCAGCGTTTCGTAGCCCCATAGGGAGCTCCACCGAAGGCCCCAGTGGTTGCTCTCGCATGCGTTTCCCCCACCCTGGGCAGCGTTTCGTGGCCCCATAGGGAGCTCCACCGAAGGCCCCAGTGGTTGCTCTCGCATGCGTTTCCCCCACCCTGGGCAGCGCTTCGTGGCCCCATAGGGAGCTCCACCGAAGGCCCCAGTTTCCTGCTCCACCGAAGGCAGCGTTTTGTCGCCCCATAGGGAGCTCCACCGAAGGCCCCCTCTCGCATGCGTTTCCCCCACCCTGGGCAGCGTTTCGTGGCCCCATAGGGAGCTCCACCGAAGGCCCCAGGTTGCTCTCGCATGCGTTTCCCTAGGGAGGTCCACCGAAGCCCCAGTGGTTGCTCTCGCATGCGTTTCCCCCACCCTGGGCAGCGTTTCGTAGCCCCATAGGGAGCTCCACCGAAGGCCCCAGTGGTTGCTCTCGCATGCGTTTCCCCCACCCAGGGCAGCGCTTCGTGGCCCCATAGGGAGCTCCACCGAAGGCCCCAATGGCTGCTCTCGCATGCGGTTCCCCCACTCAGGGCAGCGCTTCGTGGCCCCATAGGGAGCCCCACCGAAAGCGGCACCCGCAACGCGTTACGAAGAATTGCTTATGGTTGGGTCCTTCGCCCGGATAATTCCCAAAAAAGGGCGTGGGCCCAGGGCTCTCTTTTAGGATGGTAATATGTCCCCGGTGCCTCAACTGAGGTGGGCCGGCGGATTCTTTCCCTGATAAATATCGAAGTCGAGGTGGGCCGGCGGATTACAATTTGAGGATGTCTCAGGCGAAACGCTTGCTTTTAAAATCCCGATCGATAAATCATAGGGTGCGGGCCACTCCCCCAGCACGACCACCCCCCAGCACGACCACCCCCCAGCACGACCACACCCCAGCACGACCACTCCCCAGCACGACCACACCGCCTTGGTTGAGTGGTTGCCTGTCGTCGTGGAATGTTTCGTGGGGTGTCTCGTGGACTGTTTCGCGGGGTGTCTCGTGGAATGTTTCCAGGAAAACGTTGAAAACGGTCGCCCGTGTCTCGTGGAATGTTTCGCGGGGTGTCTCGTGGAAGTGACCGTCGCCCAATAAGGTGTCGTGAAAACGTTTCTATGCATGCGGTTCTATATCCCTTTCCGGGTTCGTGGGTCCATCATGTTCAGAATTTGTTGAGGATGTCTCGAGCGAAACGCTAGTTTTGCAGAGTTGGGGATGTCTCGAGCGAAACGCTTGTTTTCAGAATTTGTTGAGGATGTCTCGAGCGAAACGCTGGTTTTGCAGAGCCGACCGCGACGCGAAAAAGCGCCCCGCGCGCAGGAATTCCGAGGATGTCTCGCGCATGCCGTCCCGCGCGCAGGAATTTCGAGGATGTCTCGACTAATTCGCTTATTTGTTCTAGGATTTAGCGTGACAGTGTTGAGTTTTTGCGTGCCCGCTCGAGGATGGTGCGCCCCCCGCGCAAAAACGTCGAGTTCTCAAGCGAAACGCTTGTTTGGCAAAACTTGAAATACCTGGGCGCCCCAGCATGCCCCAGGAGGCCCTGGGAGCGCGGACGCGGCGTAATCTACGAGGGATCGTGGCGTTGGGAGCGCGGACCACGCGTAATTTGCGAGGGATCGTGGCCCTCGGAGCGCGGGCGCAGCGTAATTTACGAGGGGTCGGGGCCTTGGGAGCTCGGACGCAATGTAATTTACGAGGGATCGTAGCCCGAAGGTAATTTACGAGGGATCGTAGCCCTGGGAGCGCGGACGCAGCGTAATTTACGAGGGGTCGGGGCCCTGGGAGCGCGACCCCAATGTAATTTACTAGCGATCGTGGCCCTGGGAGCGAGGACGCAGCGTAATTTACCAGGGATCGTGGCCGTGGGAATTCCGTAGCGCGTCACCTTGGCACGTCCCTGAGTGCGTTCCAATGGCACTTCCCCTAGCATGTCGCCTGGCGCGTCCCTTGGGACGGTCCGCGGTGCGTCCTCCTGGCATGCTCCCCTGTCAATTAGCTCTGGGTCAGCTACTATGTGCTCAGGCAGCTCGAGCTTAAGATCCAGATCAGTTCGGTCAGGACTCGGACGCAAAGGAGGATTCGATCCACAACGCTGTAGAGCACAATCGCGGCATGACACATCGCAGTTCAGCACGGCGCAGCACAGCACAGCCCTCGGCACGGTACACCAAGATCGATACACTCAGCATTGCAACCTGTCACGTTCCCTGGCACGTTCCGTGGCGCGTCCCGTGCCGAGTCCGCCTGGCACGTCGCGCGGCGCGTCCCCTGGCACGTCCCGTGGCACGTCCATTGGCACGTTCCTTAGCGCGTCCCCTTGGCACGTCCCGCGGTGCGTCCCCTCGGCACGTCCCCTGGCACGTCGCCTGGCGCGTCCCTTGGGACGTTCCGCGGCGCGTCCTCCTAGCATGTATCCTTGCTAATCAGCTCTGGGGCAGCTACTATGTGCTCAGGCAGCTTGAGCTTACGACCCAGATCAGATCGGTCAGGACTCGGATGCAAAGGAGGACTCGATCCACAACGCTATAGAGGACATTCACGGCATGGCACATCGCAATTCAGCACGGCGCAGCACAGCACAGCTCTCCGCACGGTGCATCAAGATCGATACACTCATCATTGCATTTGCCCGTCTCACAACCAGGTGTCTTTTACACGTTGCCATGTCTTACATTTCTATGTTCCTTTCCGGGTTCGTGGGTCAATCATGTTTCCTGGAAAGGGCGTAGGCCCATGGTTCTCTTTTAGATGTTTACCCCCCGTTTGAAGGAGGCCGGCGGAATTAGTTTGCGATAAATGACGAGTTTGAAGGAGGCCGGCGGAATTATTTTGGAGGATGTCTCAAGCGAAACGCTTGTTTTTTCAGAATTTGTTGAGGATATCTCGAGCGAAAAGCTGGTTTTGCAGAGTTGGGAGATCTCTCGAGCGAAACGCGTGATTTTCAGAATGCGTTGAGGATGTCTCGAGCGAAACTCTAGTTTTGCAGAGTTGGGGTATCTAACATGGCGTCGGGCCCAACGCCGAATTATGAGGAAACGCACGGGGGGCCGAAAAGCGCTACCCGAACACATGTCCCAATAGTGAAAAATTATGGTTTCTTGCTCTGAACATGGGGTTGCGCTTTGAGGGCCTCTCAAGGGAAGACGTTGCGAGGATGTCTCGAGCGGGAGCGCGAATTCAGCGTATCCAGGTCACGC